TTGCCTAATGATATAACAACTGTACTATTGAAATCGCACTTATTTACATTGATAGTGACAGTGATAGAGATAGTGCGATCTAATTGACCTCCTCTACGTTTATATCTATATACTAAACTAAAATATTTATCCATTTAAATGAAATTTGCCTAATAATCCTTTCGGTACTTTCAAAAACTTACATTATAAAGAAGTATTAGGAATCTTTCATACCGACTGATTTACACCATTTTGTACTAAAATAAATTTTTCAATTTGGATTATTTGTTATTTTAGATCGTGCACTTTTTCTAAAATCCACTTAAATCATTGATCGATATGCTTTTATTTCGCTAATTTTAACTATACTATATTATAACTGCAATTATTTTTTATATTTGATTTTTTATTAAATTAAAAAATAATAAACATTGATAATAATCGAAATTAATATAAATTAATTTAGATATTGCATTTATTTATTAGATTTTTATTTAATTACTTAAAATCATCTTTATTTAAGTTTTTTCTCAATCCAAAATAAAAATAAAATTTTCCTCTAATTTTAGAGAGAAAAATAGTGATAATAAACATTATATATCAGCCGTCTAATTATATGTTATACGAAATTCTATATTTTAATCTATTGTTACTGCAACTAAATTATTAACATCATTTTGCCGTTTTCTTTTAAAAAACATATTTTATTTTTTTATTTTTTTTTTTTTTCTGTAAATAAATGATTGTTTAAATTAAAGATAATTAATGAATTATAATACATTATTAATAATCAAAATATAATCCAAAAGAATTTAATGTTAAATAATTTATATTTTTACTATTATGCTAAAAGGTTCTGATTCTTATATTTCATTCGATAATATTCATCAGTACCGATGCTAAAAACATTTCTGCATCAACATTTTAAAATGTATTTAAATTATATAAACTGCTTGCTTATATAATTTAATTATGCTTTATGATTTGGAGATATGTTTAAATTGTTTTATATAATTCTACTTGAAACTTATGAATTTATGTACACATTTCATAATGTGATATAAATTGAAGAAAATATTTTCTAAATTTTAAATATGTCTTTTGATCTTAATAGTAAAATAATGAAAACATCTTACAATCCATTTATATAATATGAATTATAGATGCAAATTTATGTTTCTAAGTATCTCTACGAACGATTATTAAAGAGAATATTATGCTATCTAATTGTAAATATAAGATTAGCAATATTATGGAATTTATCGTAGATAAAAATTAATATGAAAAATATTTGCTTAACCATATTGTACATAAAATTCTTTTCAACTCCAAAGACTCTAATTAGCCTTATTTTGAGAATTGAAAAAAAAAAGAAGATCCTTTATGATTCTATTCAATTTTTCAGAATGAATGATAGAATAGAGTGTTTTTTAATAATAATTATATCAGTTTGTAATGATTTAAATTATAAGAAAATCGACGATATAAATTGCAAATGTAACTGCAAATTCATACAATTATTACTCCTTTTAATAAATTTAATTTTTTTTTAATTTTAATGTATTATTTTTATTATACATTTCTATATAATAACAAATATAAATTCCATATTGTAAATTCCATTCATTAGATAGATGGAAACATTCGTAATTTTATTGTATTTTTGATTATATATTATAAATGAATTAGCTTTTCAAGAATTATATACTTCATACATGCTAGGAACTCTCTTATATGCATCTCGACATTTTACTATTTGAAAAATGAATTCCAGTTGCAATATTATTAATTCAAGCCAATGTATCTAATACCTTCTTAATTTTATCTTGGAAATTTTCTAAAATAATCTTTTAAGATTACGAAAACGTATTCGTCTAAACTTTACTTGACCTATAACTTTTTACTACTCATTTAATAACTTTCAGTACTCATATAATTACCATATATTGTTCAAAACATTTAAATACTAATATATTATAAAATTTAATTTGTTTAATAATAATATTAATATAAAAATTTTTAAATATATTTTCATTTATAAGCAACAAAGTTAAAAATGAATAAATATATAAATTATATTTATTTTTAATATAAAGTTCGTAAGGTTATATTTTATTTACAATCCAAAAATAAAAATAATGAAAGAAATAAAAAATCAGAATTCGTATTAATAGTTGGCACTTATTATTAATTATTTCGTGTAGTAATACAGTTTCAAATGTACATTCAATATCCTTCTTAATTTATTCAAATTTAATCATTTTTTAACGTAGATAATAAAAAGTTATATATTGTTTTTTTTTTTTTTTTTTTTTTTTTTTGTAATAAATCAGAATCATTGATGTATTTTGTTTTTATATAAAATATATTTTCATATGAATTATTTTGCCTATTGCAAACGAATCGATTAATAAGCAATATTAGATTTGTAGTAAATTAATAATGAACTATCTTATATACTAATAAAATTAATATAAATTTATATAAATATATTTTATAAATTTCAGTAAGAAATAAATGATAACGGATCATCTTGAATTAGATTTAAAGTTTAATTTCATGAAAATATATCGACATATTGTTGCTACTAAAGTAAATTTACATTATTCAATGAAAATTCAATGATATAGGTTGCTGAAAAATTGATTTAGCAATCATCTTTATGAACTTTTATTATATGTCTTTTTGGTAATCGGTACCAATTAATTTTTCAATTACTTAAACATTTTTTAAGCGAATGAAAATTAAAAGTTGTTATAATATTATTACCGTATAAACATTACAAATCCGAATAATAAATTAAAAACCAAATAATATATTATTCAATGATAACTAATATATACTGTAATAAATACTTACTGATTTTTAAAATAATGTTTGCATAATAAGCATCCATTACTTTCATATCTTATCATAAACTTCACTTTCACTTCATTTAAAAACTGTAAAAACAAATACAACAACATCAATAAATTTGTAATTTATAAAGATTTAAAATCCTTCATAGATAAAATATTAAATTAAATTTTAATAAAAATAAAATATAAAATAAAAGAAAATACAGAAATAAACCAAGTTTAACTTTGAAGAAAGATGAAGGAATTGATTACAAGTTTGTAACTCAGGAGATGCAAAATGGAAGGGAAAATAAGCTCCACCCATTGAGCTGTTTTAGCCTTAGATAGATGGAAATTTTTAAATTAAAGTCTCTATCCTATTTTAAATTTATTCAACTCGCACTGACAAAAGATACAGTAACTAGAATAGTAAATAATAAATAAACTCTATGAAAAATTAAATTAAATTAATGAAATAAGTATTAAACTAATATATGTATTGTTAAAAAACAAAGTATATTAGATTTGAAGATTATAATGTTAACAAATTTGAATTATATATTATTGGATAGTATAATAAATTTGTCTTGTAATCACCTTAGAAGAAATTAATATGATTAAATAAAAAAACAAGTTTTATAAATGAAAATTAACTTTTAAACCGTCAATAACTATAAATATTAAAAAATTGTTAATTTAAAGAAAAAAAATTATTTCTAATCTGTCGAGTAAACTTCTTCGTAGAGTAGAATAACGATAACAATAATTATGATATAACAATATAAGAAAAATGTAATAGGACAAAATTAATCAACAAAATATAATAATAATCGATTATAAAAGCAAAATTAAATTAACTCCTTATATACTTTGCATAAAATCTGAAATTATTGCAAGTTGATTTTGTAATTTATAATCATAAATTATCATGTTTATAATGGACTTCTCACACACAATCACCTTACTTAGATTTAAATTTAACCAACATAGTACCGAAGCATAGGCAATGAATGCTCCTGTATAACTAAACCACCCTTCTACACAGAACAGTAGTCCGAGTCTACTGCTGTCATGGACTACGGAGCTCGTAGCTGCCATTGGCTGATCTGATGCCGAAGAGTTGCTCTCGGAGTGGTTAGAAAGAGATGTAGATCTAGAAGTTCCATCTCCGTTTATCCTTTGCCTTCGGCACTCTTTTATTATATTCTAAATCTGTTATTGGAGGGGTGTACCCTTTGAATTTTACCTACAAAGTAGAAAAAGAATTGTCATTTACCAAATTTTTATTTAACTAAATACTTGTAATGGATATAATTTAGAAAAAATTGTAGTAAAATTATATTTCATAAAATATAAAATAATATTATATCATATCCTTAAGCATTTATCCTTATATTTTACAATGTTATACTGAAGAAATATATTTCTTGTACAAATAAAAAAGTAGTCAAAACTTGTGCTCCTAAGCAACCCTTTTTAACAGCTACCCTTTTTTTTATAGGAAAAGGGGTGACATACCCCTTTTTTTTAAAGGGGGTGGCTCCCCTGCTAGACATATGTAATCTATTCTATTCAGAACTACTTATCCCTTTTGGTATATTCAATATTTTTGCCTGCTTTACTATTTAATATTAAACAATTACTATTTAACGAAAAATCTACAAAATAAAAGTAAAATTTCATAAATTTCAGAATAAAAATGTAATTCATAAACATAACCCTAAAGATTGATTACAGCTCAAATAAACAAATATATGTACATATAAATTATCTTACGTTCAATTTATTTGAAATTATTTATTAACGTCATACGTGATGAAAATATAAATATCTGTGCATTTGCGTTTTTAAGTTAAATTCAATGCTGTCATTGTAACAAAAATGCAAGCAAACGTAACATTTCAAAATTTTATCCTCTAGAATATCTCGAAATGTTGGAACGATAAGTCGACACGATTACAAATGGCGCAAAAATGCAAAATTTTGATAAAGCAAAATTACAAATGTTTTCATTAAATATGATTAAATATAATAAAAGATATTTCACATGTAATTTGATCGACTTTTTTATTATAATAAGACATTTCGTAATAAAATAAATTGTAAAACATAAGTTTAAAGGGTAAAGGACTGCAATGTCAATACACATTCGAATACATATAAATTTGTTCATTTTATGAAGTGTCATTGCATTTGCTTGTGTAAATTTAATGTGCAAAGCACGTATGAACATAAATCAGAACTTATTGAATGATACTTGATGACGTTAAAGCTTACGTAATATTGCCACGGCAAAATGAAATATTATCGTCGATCTTTCAACAAGATAAAGCCATTTCAGCTACGCTTTACATTCAAAGAGGTTAGTTTTATTGTCACTTTGTATTTAAATTTGTATTCCATTTAGATAAAAATATTGATTAAATTGTCGACTAACATTTTAAACTATATTCTTTTATTCTTAAATATTCAAAATAGTTTTTGTACGATAAAGGGCAGTTAGAAATTAATTGTTAATGTCATTTTTCCAAGTTTGAAATTGTACTAAATATACTTTAGCATGCATTTATTACTAACACTGCAAAAATATTTGAACTAATGTTTTGTAGACTATTATACTAACTATTGAATAGTAAACAATTACTTAGAAAACAGAAGTAATATGGCTGATCAAACAGAAAACATTCTGGTAACGGGAGGTGCTGGTTATATTGGTTCACATACGGTTTTGGAACTACTTAATGCTGACTTTCAGGTGGTGGTTATTGACAACCTTAGTAACGCTTTTCAAGGTAAGAAATTTTGTATTTTCTATATTGATATTTATTCGAAAGTTATTTATAGAATTTATTTGAATTCTAATGTCAAAACGCAGTGGCATGATAATTGAAATAATTATCCTTAATATGATAATGTATTTCAGGAAAAAGTAGTGTAAAGCCTGAAAGTATTTCTAGAATAGAAAAATTAACAAATAAACAAGTCACATTTATTTATTGTGATATTTTAAATAAGAAACTGTTAAGTGATATTTTTCAGAAGGTAATTAATAATGTCGTTAAAAAATAATCTTATTAATATCTAAATAAATACAATGAAGTCATGCACTTATATATTTTTAATCTTTAGCACAAATTCTTCTGTGTTATACATTTTGCTGCCTTGAAAGCAGTGGGCGAATCGTGCACAATACCATTAGAGTATTATAAAATAAATCTTGGAGGAACGTTAAATCTTTTAGAAGTCATGAGAGAAAACAATGTTAAAAGATTTATCTATTCAAGCAGTGCTACAGTATATGGTGTACCTGAACAACTGCCTTTGACTGAAAATATGGAAACTGGAAATTGCACAAATCCATATGGAAAGACTAAATTTATGGTGGAAGAAATTTTAAAGGACCTTTGTAATTCGGATAAGGTATTGTAGCTTGTAAATTGATAAAAATTACTAATAGTTTATATTTTAACGAAAAATGTAAATAGTAAATAGTAAATAATATTTTATATAACCATTATTTTACATTACATTGGGATTGTTTATATGTTTAAAGTTAGAATTGATTTTAATATTGTATTTATTATATACTTATAAACAAACGATATTTAATAAATTTCAAATTATAAATATTATTTTATATTCGTTTCTTAATTGACAATTAATTAATTTCATTCGTAGAATTGGTCCGTTATATCATTAAGATACTTTAATCCAGTTGGAGCACATCCATCTGGAGAAATTGGAGAAGACCCAAGTGGTATTCCAAACAATTTAATGCCTTACATTGCCCAAGTTTCTGTAGGAAAGAGAGATTTCCTTTCTATTTATGGCGATGACTACGATACTATAGATGGAACTGGTAAATCATTTAAAGTACAATATATCTACAGGAAATGAGATTAGATATCGAGTATGTTTTACTTCCTTTCAGGAGTACGAGATTACATTCATATTGTCGATTTAGCATCTGGTCATGTTAAAGCCTTGATTTATCAAAAAAATGAAAATCCTCTTTGTTTCAAGGCTATTAATCTCGGAAGTGGCAAAGGCTATTCAGTTTTTGAAGTAATACATGCCTTTGAAAAAGCTTCTAAAAAACAAATTCCGTATAAAATAGTTAAACGAAGACCGGGTGATATAGCAGAAAGTTATGCTGATGCAACTTTAGCAAAAGATTTATTAAATTGGGTCGCCGAAAAAAATATTGACGATATGTGTAAGTTTTTTAGTTTAAATTGATATACATTCGAATTCTTTAATTCCCTTACAATATTAAATAAATTAGATAAATCTTCAATTCGGATAAAATAAAGTGTTTTTAATATTTTTAATTTATTGTGAAAATCAATTTAGGTAACGTTTTAATGATAAGATTAAAATAAACGATAATGTAAAATATAGATTAAAAAATTATACGCTGAACCTATTTTGACAATGTTTAATTATATCATATCTTTTAAATAACAACTAATTAACTTTATTAATTAAAACATAATGAACTGATAGTAATGTGACAGATATTCATAAAAACTTATGAACTTGTTTACTACTTAAGAATACTATTCATTGTTATTAATTTATATTTATAGAAAATATTTGTTTTGAAATATATATATATATATATATATATATATATATATATATATTTATTTATTTTATTTTTTTTTATTATAATATATTGTGACAGTCGATTGTCTTTTAGGTGCTGATACATGGAAATGGCAAATGAAACATCCTAATGGTTACATTAATTGATAACAGCCAAAGAACTATATTCACTACGTAGAAAAAAATTTATTAAATTTGCATTATTAATTATACGTTAATTTTAATGGTTGTTAAATATTTTTACAAATAGTTAGTTGGTAATACCGTTGGTGGTTTAAAGTTACCAAAGTTAAACCAAATTTAAAAACAATTCTTTTAATATTATATAACTGTTGATTATGCCAATAGGAGCAAATTTATGTTTCGGATCTTGTATTTTATCTATATACATACACGATTACTTGGATGCATTATCGATATGCAATAATGGTTTATGGTTATGGTTTATAAACCATGTTAATTATTTTAAGTGATTTTATGTGATAAATTAATTAGTTTATAACGAGATGCTATATCAATTTATAAAAGTTAAAAATGAAAATCCAATGAATCTTAGTTTACGAGTAATAGACAAAATACAAGATTAATTAAAAAGCAATTTAATTGTAATTAATTTATAAACGTGTGTTGAAGTAGATGTAGAGTATGTTGAAGCAATTTTTCTTTCAATTAATATTTTATTGCAAACGAATTGTTTAGAAAATTTATATAATAATATATTGGATTGAAATTAGAGCGAGTATAGTCGAAAGATTTTACAATATTTTATTTTTAATTTAAAATTTGTTTTTAAAAAAGGGGTGATATTGTGATTAAGCACTTAAATGGTTATCCTCGCTTAATTCTTATAGAAGTAAATTTGCTAATGATCGACTGACCTGGGTAAAAAAATTTTCAGTACAATTTTTTAAATTATTTCATGAATATGCTAAACTGTATAATTTTCAGAAATTAATCGAGCTTATCCGAGTTATATTTACGCAATAAATAGACAAGAAATACAAGAAAGTGCTGATTCTAATTGTTCCAAGTATTGGAATAGATGTAAACTACGATAAGTAATTACCAACATAATACATCAAAATTTAGTAAGAAATAAAAAAAATATTTTTAAGATTTAAATTAAAGCTACATGTCATGTAGGCATATAATTTTATAGCTTAAGTTGTAATTATAAAAAAGTTTTTTAATATTCATTGTCTGCCGTATATGAATTAACATCATAAATTCTCTTCATTTTTGCACTTTCCAAAAAGACAAAAATTTCTTGACAACTTTCTTCGTAATTAACAAATGATATCATTTATAACTTGAGCATAAAGTAGTGAGCAGTCGGATACAAAGTTTTAACACATCAGCATCAAATATAAATGAATTTTCTAAAATACACAGGACTTAAAATTACTGTAAAACTACTTGTATTACTCTCCTGCGCTTAATGACCGACGACGGTATTACATCAATATATTACTTTCTCACCTAACTCGATGCAAAGGCAGAATGATTTTATTTTCTAACTACTATCTTGTGAGGTTTGAGTAAGCTAATTCGTCGGTTATGAAATTTGCTGGAAGGTCGAAAAATAAATGCTTATTCTAGAATAGTAGCTTTGTGCATAATAGCGCCATACTTTGATAATCGTAATCTATACGTAATGGCCCATCATTATGCGATCCGAAAGATCTCAAACGGAAAGTGCTCATTTTAAGAATTAGAAAAACTTTAAAACTTTTACATTCATGGTGTGCATTTTAATTTCCACTCGTATATCTAATGAGAAGGTCATCCGGGAGTTTGGCTAATACGGTACGGTACCGTGAATTCGTGTTTGATGTCTCTCGCCCAGTAACCACGAATTATTTAAATAACTTTTTTTTTTTTTTTTTTTTTTTTTTTTTATATAATTAAATTCTGTATTTCAAGAAATTTTTCACGAACAATCTTTTAATCACTCATGACAATTCCTGGCATTTAGTCGAGTATTACTTAGCTGGAAAATTCCAATAGGTCGCATCGGCAAAGTAATATTATATAATTAAAATTTTTATTGCAAAAAAAAAAAAAAAAAAAAAAAAAAAAAAAAAAAAAGGACACTTATCCTCTTATATACTTATACGAATTAAATTACTATCATAAATTTAGAATTCGATTTTTCTTTATGATTTATCCGACTCAGCAGCAAGTAGATAACTTTATGAAATTTTACCCGCTTTCAATAGAATATGATGAAAGATAATGATCTTTGAAATTGATAGATATGATATTATTTATCTAGCATTTGATTTTTTTTTTTTTTTTTTTTTTTTTTTTTTTTTTTAATGTACTGTAGCTGTAATATTAATTATAATATAATATTTTACATTGATAATATGATATTGAAGAATGTATGTACGATCTTATGGTGATATTATCAAAAATTAATAATATAAAATAATTATTTCGTTAAAGTGGTAAGCCAAGATGATACTTAGCATAAAAAGAAGAAGAAAAAATTAATTCTTAATAATAATTTGAGTATGAGACAAAGTCGATCCGCAGAATCCTACCGACCCTATTCGCCTTTCTTATGTATCTCTATTCTACAACTAGATTATTCTTCACCCTCGCATTCTTACAATAATAGTACGTCCTAATCATTATATTATTGTATAGTACTTCATATACAAGGATTTATATTTAAAAATTATATAACGAGCATATAATTTTCATAGCAAGTATTTATTATTTAGGATTTCTTTCTTATTATAGAGAATAAATCACGGGTGCTAAAAAACTTGTATACAAGCCAAATTCTTATGATTATTAAATTTTAGTTTATTTAAATTAGTTTAAATAAATAAGATTCTATTTGAAATGTATAATGCATTTTAATACCTAGAGGATTAGGAAATGTAAAGAATTTCAGATAAGAGTATCTTTGTAAGCTCGAAATTTTGTATTAACTATGTTGTAATTCGAGTATCGCTCAATCCATAATTGTATAAAATTGTTGATTAATATATCGATAAATAGGAAACGAATTTTTTTCCAATTTTATTACCCGATTGGCTTAATTTATTGCGTTATAAATTATTTTCTGAACAAATATAAAACAGCGTCATTAAAAAATTAAAAAATTTCGATAACGTATAATTAATAAATTATAGTTGACGAAAATTAAGTTACTTAATGCGCACTATTAAATTCACTATATATCATGTGATGTTTATGTATAAGAGAATATAATGATATTTAAAAACGTATATAGTTGCGCTGTACAGGGATAAGAAATTGGTTTAGTTGCGGCGCTCCTTTATTGTCGATCGCACCCTTTTTTTTTTTACCGTCCTTGCGCAATTGAGTGTCAATATTCGCTAATTTATCACATTACTTAATTAAATAAACTCAAGTGCCTTACCAAAGTCATGGCTTGACGAATTGCACACTTATTTGCACAGTTGGAAAAGTACACACTGAATTGCTTTTTTTCCTGACTATAATCTCCAAGCTCGAACTTATACTCAATGTGTAGTATTCTGATCAAGTTTAACATCGTGGATATTATTTTGGTTTCAATTATGCCTATCGATTGAATTTACACTTAGCTTTAATTAGCTCATATTATCGAATATAATATAATAAAAAAAAAAAATAAATAAAAAATAAAAAAAAAAATGTAATTCATCGGAGATAATATCGATAAAAGATTTTGTAGTAATAACAAGTGTATAAATTAATCGTGTAAGTGAAAAAATTTGTAAATAAATTGTAATTACTAAAATGTATATTAATAATATCATTAATAATAATAATAATAATAATAATAATAATAATAATAATATGAAGAAGAATAAGAAGAAGAAGAAGAAGAAGAAGAAGAAGAAGAAGAAGAAGAAGAAGAAGAAGAAGAAGAAGAAGAAGAAGAAGAAGAAGAAGAAGAAGAAGAAGAAGAAGAATAACGTATAACGATGTGAATTATTTATGCATGTAATCCAATTTCCTTTCAGCTTCGTCGAACGATAAAATACTTAAACAAATGATATTATCACATTGTTATAAGGCTTGATTGCTTTAATATTACCGATGCAATTATTTTTACATGCCAAGCGTTAGAATTTTATAAGAAAAAAAAAACTATTAAAATCATTATTTATCTTCGAAATTTTTAAAAAGCTTATAATAATCTCACAATGCATTATAATATATTTTTGTATAATTGTTTAATGCTGCCATTTTTGATATTATGTTTTATTCGAAAAATCTCAATCTAAACGAATTATTGTGCTTTATCTAATTCTTTAAAATTGTTCTAATTTCCTTTATGATTTTTCATAATTCTCCCTAAACTACATAAACTCCTTCCTTCCTTAATTAATTAATTGCAATTACGATAATATCGTAAATCCTTTATTCTGCACTTGTTATTAATTAAAAATGTATGCTACTATCTAATTAATGTTCGTTCAAATAAAAATTTGAAGTCTTCCCGCCTTAATTAACATAATTGTTTACTTTCTTTTTCTTTTCTTTTTCTTTTCTTTTTTTTTTTTTTTTTTTTTTTTTTTTTTTTTTTTTATATTATATCTTCAGGCTCCGTTTTCAAAATTACATTATGATATGCACATAAGGTCATTGAAAATAAGCCCTTTCGAGATAGTCAAGCAGTAATACATCTGGTATAATAAACATGGCGAATAATCTAGGAGGAATTTTTCTGTTGTGAGATTTTAATAATGCTCGAATGTAAGAATTTTAAATACAAAGAAGTCAATTGAAAAATTTTTTTTAACAGTCTAACAATATAATTATTATCAAAATGGATATACGTGGTATCGAAATCACGAATCAGTTAAGGGTATATAATTATGTCTTTATTTTTGTATGATTACGTCTATTTATATTTAATTATGTTTGTTTCTCTTATTTTATCAAAATCATGATGTGCGCTGTTAATTGTATTATTCAAGTACACATTGTTATATTCTTTATGTTTATTTCATTAATTTGACAATAAAAATACCGATATCTCAGAAAAGCATGCAAAAATGTTTTTAAACATTATTTATGCAATCATAATTTTGTATGTTAATGCAAATTAATTTTCAGAGCGCCATTCGAGCTAAGTTACTTGAATTGGGTGTACGTTACGACGAAGAACTGCCAGATTATATTTTAGTGATGGTTGTAAACAAGAAATCTCGACAGCAGATGAACGAAGATTTGCATTTATTTTTGGAAGACAGTACGGAACCGTTTGTCAATTGGTTGCATGATCAGGTATTAAAAAAATTACAAAAAGTTACCGTGAAAAAAAAGAGTAATAAAGAAGTTGGATCGTCGGTCGTTGTTAAAGAGGAAAAAGATAAGAAAAAAATTAAAGTAGAAGATCAATCTAAGTCCGTATTAGATAAGGAAGTTATAACAAAAGTTGATAGAGACAGAGAATTTGAAGAGCTTGTAGGCGATTTAACATTATTGAATGAAAATGATAATAAAATTGGATTGAAAGATATAGTTCATGAAGATAAATCACAGAAGAAGAAAAACCCACTTCATTCAACTACTAATTATGGAAATATTGCAAATAATGTAGAAAAAAAAGACACTGTTACATCTACGGTTTCAGCATCTACTAAGCCTTTAAATAATGATAAAAAAGTAGCGTCCTTTAAGTACCCTCGTGTCGATGTGTCTGAAAAAAGTAACGAGTCCTCGATTCAAAATTTGAAGCATAGCTTAAATCCTGATGATATTTCAAACGAAAAGAATACTCAAGCTACTAAGCGTTTAAAACTATCTGACGATCTCAATAATAAAGATGAAAATAAATTAAAATCATCTATTAATAAACCAAAAATAACTTCGGTTATTTCTATTAAAACTAGGCTTGGTGTTATTCCTCCTGCAAAAAAATCCGATTTAGATACTAAACCAAGCAGTGATATTAGAAGCGCATTAAACAAAAATCATTTACACGTTGGAAGAAATGAAACGAGTAGTCAGAGAAGCAGCGTGAGTCAGAATAAAATTGTAGAACGAAGAAAACAACGAAACGAAGATGCTAGAACTGAACAAAGTAAAACTAACAAGAATCAATTTAGTAGTAATTTAAAAACTGGTAAATCCAATAAAATTGGAGATTTAAAAAATAAAGAAAGACTAAGTAATAAGTGGGGAACGGTAAAGTCTCGTCTTGGTATTCATAAACAAGATGAACCTCTCTTAAAATCCTGCAATTCCATTAAAGTAAGCAAACCTAGAATTAGTAATGTAAAAAGTAGATTAGGAGTAAGAAAAAGGCAGCAGAATAGTGCACTGTCGGATGCAGTATTTAGACCTTCTCAAAAACCTCAAAATGATAAGAATTTTCCTGAGGAAGATGATGATTCTGTTATTAATACGTCTCTTAAATCTCATGTAATTGATGTTAAAAAACACCAAATGCAAAAACAAAAACAAAAGAATATTGAATTAAAGAAGCAAAGCGATTCAAATGTAGACGCAAAGAAAGAAGAATTGGAGAAAATTGATGATGAGGATGCATGCAAAGTTTCAAGTAAAATTATCGTCACTCCAAGACCATTGAAACCACTTCAGCCGTCTTTAAAACGGGCTACGCAGTCTCTGTTGTTAAGAGCAGTGGCCGAAGCAAATCAATCGGTAGTAATGCAAAAGAAATTAGATCCTTGCTTAAAAGTAAGATTTAAAAATATAATTATAACGTAACATTAATAAAATATAATACTACAATCACATCTTTATAAAAACTGATAATGAAATATATATATATATATATATATATATATATATATATATATATATTTATACATGATATTGTTATTGTTATTATTAAATATTATAATTAAAGAATTACATTTTTAGGAACAAAAATTTGTAAATAAAATTAAAGTGATGCGCGATCCTTGGCAAGGCAAAATACTTTCAGTAAATTTAAATTCAAAGAAACGACTTGTTATGGAAAAAATTCAAATCGAACTTACTAATCCTGATATAATTAGTTCATCCAAACCTCGTGAGTATATTTAGTTTTATTTAATTTTAATTTTTAATTTAAAAATACTTCAAATAATTCAGCATTTATAGATTCATCGCAAGTTGTAACGGAAGAGCATTTAGATATGGTAAAATCATTGTTCAAAAGAAGCGATGATAAACAAAAGTTTTTAGTTACGTTAAATGGATATAACAATAATATCCTCAAAGAAAGAAATTCTGATGATGAAGAACGTATAGAAATGGAGGCAAATATTTTTTAATACTATACAGATTTTTACTAACTGTATGACGAAGCTTAACATACGATGATTATAGGTAAATGAAGATGACGAATTGGCTCTGGGTAACAGTCAATATAGATCTCACATTGAAAACGATCGAATAATTGACGAGCACGATGACGATATAAATAAAGCTCATTACATTAATGAAGATCATGACACGAATGAAGATCACGAATTAAACGATGATACAGAAATTGAATATATTGAACCGAAAATTGAAAGTAATGGAAATGATAATGCAGAAAATCTTAGACTCGAAGAAAATCCTTGCAAAAGAAAAAGAAAATTAAGTCCTATAGTTTATACTAGATCTCGTTCGAGTACACCGGAAGACAAACCGACACTAGCTTCTACAGTCAATTCGGTACTTCGTGAGTATTCGAATGGATTTTTTTTTTTTTTTTAAATAAAAACTAACATTGAATAATTTTATTTATACGTGTAATTTTCCTTCATTTTATAATTATTGGTTGAATTTCGTTATTTAGGTATCGATAAACGACCTCTCATAAGTTCGGTTATTACAACCGTTGCTGATAAATCAAATGAAAAATGTCGATATTGGCCAAATTGTACATTAGGCATAAAATGTGCCTATTATCATCCTGAAGTTATGTGCAGGTGACTATTTTATCTGATTTAACTTCACAACTCCTTTAAACTGAATATTAACCAATGAACGAAAAAAATTATGTAATTTTTTCAGCTCTTTTCCTGCCTGTAAATTTGGTGAGAAATGTGCCTATAAACATCCAAAATGTAAATTTGGTTCATCGTGCACAAAATTGGGCTGCATGTTTTCACATCCTCCATTACAATGCAAGTATCATCCATATTGTATGAAACCAGGATGTCCATTTTCTCATCCTAAAACTTCAAGTACTACTGCATTAACTTCATTAACTCCAGATATTCCCAATGTACGAGCAAAGTTTACATGGAAAAAAAAAGAATGAATTTTCATTTTATAAATATTACTTGTTTTCTTAAATTCATCACTTTTCCTTTATTGTCATTTCTATTAAAATGAAATGAATGTAATTCATTAATTTTTTTAATTGTTATTATGCTTCAAGTTATATAAAATTATAAGTATAAAATGTATAATATTAATTTATTATGATAAAATTGACTATAAAAAATATATATATATATATATATATATATATATATATAGATATACGATATTTTTAATATATATTAGAAATTGTTTAGCCTCACTATTATATTAAACCACATTTGAAAAAGCTTTCTATTATCAACTCCATTTATATGATTTAGTTATAGCAGATAATTTACACGAAATATTTTAATTGATAATAATTATCTATGTTAAAATAACTTATTTCTTTTACTATGTATCTCATATAGTATATAGTAATAAATTTTCTCTAGTATTTGTTTTTATTATAATTTATTTTTAGATCTTGTAAAAAATATTTCTAATAAATCTGTATTTAAGAGTACATATGCAGTTTATTTAAACATTCTATGAGTAATTATTATCTCTTCGTATTTTATTGTAAGAAAAATAGAAAATGTTGCAATTCATTTCTCACACAATAGTTTAATTAAAAAGGTTACCTACTACATTTATGAAGAATAAGTCGCATAGTATTTAATGTAACTATGAACAAAAATCACTTGTCAAGTAATCTATAATTTATATATGCTTGATAAAAACTTTAATCAAATGTCTATCATACCATTAAAAATTAAACTATAATATAAACAATGTAACTAATCATAATATAATAATTTTCTAGTTTAAGATCTTAAGAAAATATTCTTTCTCATTATCGTACGTAATATTTATAAAATACAGTTTTACAAATAGAATTTGTACGCATTAGGCAAGTTTATTATAATAATTCAATTTTTATTAGACAATATAAATGAATAGATTTTATAAGCATAATTTAAAATCATTTAAATGAGAAATAAATCCTTTTAATGAAGGTACAACATATATGATGTATATTTATATGTATACTGTTAAAATTATTTTATTAATTGAGCTTGAACATGAATTTATATAATACATTATAATTTTTATACTATAACTAAAATAAAGTATAAAGCAATATTTTCCATAGCAAAGTAATTTTCAAGCTTACATCATGAACTATCCTACACATTAATACAATATTTATAATATTTCACTACGAGCAGAACATTCTATAATTATGCTTCATCAACTTGTTATAAATATAAATAGATTTTACTAATACAAGTTACAATTTTTATTGAACTTATGTTACAAGTATTGTTTCACACTTTATACTTTTTAATTTTTAAATACACAACTCTACTCTTTTTGTTCCGTGTCAAAAGGTAAAAAAAAAAAAATTGGAGGATTACTAAAATATAAAAAATTTTAATAATGAATTTTTAAATTTTCTTTAAATTTACATTTAAAAATTAAAGGGCATTGTACAATATTTTGATAAATTTACTTATTGCTTTGAAAAGGTTTAAAAAAAAAATCATTTCATATAATATATAGATTATATAAAAAATTATTTTTGTTTTCCAATTTCAATTCCATTATTAGAATTTCATAAATTGATTAAACCTTCAGAATAAAAGATTAAGATATATATATATGATATAATCATCAGATGCATGACTTTTACTAAAACTATACCCTACCATAAAAACATGTATAATAAATTTTTAATTAATCAACATATTAACTTCATACATTGATAATTTTCATACACGAATAATGTAATTTAAAAGCATATTGTATTACAGCCATCGCTTAAAATTATTATTAAGGCTTAAATTAAATTGTATTATTTGTAATTAAACATACATTCTTCTGTATAATATGTATAATTATTATGTATTTTATGAATTATATACTTAAATCTTTCATAGATTAGTATTTTAATTATTAATTATAATTTCACTTTTTATTAATGTTATTGATACGTTATAAAAGAAAGAAAGAAAATTATAAATATACAAAATTATTATTAACATATAAGTATTAACAAAGGAAGAATGCTTATACTTTACATATATTTAATGTAAATAACTTATAATTTCTCAATTTTGCGTACAGTTTGGTAGTATAGTTCAGCTTCTGGAATTTTGCAAATAATATTCTTTCTTACCAATTACCTATAAGCTTGATTTAATGAATTTAATTTAAAATTTGATACACATACAGTTAAAGTTAAGTATAAGTAATTATTGTAACACATCTGTTTTATATCTTTCACTTGATAAACAATACAATATGTATAATAACTATAAACTCATCTTATTTATTAAATTACTTAAATTTACATTAATCTTCGCCTGCTGGTATAGCATCTTCCAGTCTCTTTATAAATTTTACTCTTAATTCTGTGACGTTACCACTTTTTAATTGATCTTGGACAAACCATGCAGCAATTTCCATCTGTACCATTTCACAAGCACCTCTTAATACCCCAGGCAATATATTACAATATTTCAAATTTAAGCAGTCATCTGGTAATTCTACAAATTCGGTTAACGGATTTGCTTCAAAACATAAAGAGAATTCGTCCCCTGCTACGCTCCAATTATTTATTACTGGCGTGATACCCAAAAATATTTTAAACCCAGTCTGAATTTTATCCGCCGTGTCTTTAAAGTCATAACATCTACCCGAACCTGTGCGAGCTAAAAAATCCTCTATCAAACGAATACCCATATTGTATCCCATTCGCTCTAATTGTTTATTCACATCATCGATATGTTCATAGTCTTTTAATAATTGAGCGACCAATGCCCCATAAGTAAGTGTAAATAGCTCTGAATTCTGAAATGTTCATAATTAATATTAATTCATAGAAATACTAATGGAAAAATTACGTCGCATAATGCAAATGAACTTGGCAGAAAAATAATTATCCTTAGATAAACTTACAACTTTCTTTGAATCTAATTTTGTTCCTGTTCTTGACATTGTAACAGCGCAAAATAATATTATTGAAAGATAATAAAAGTCAGTACTCTTTAAGGTCTTTTCTTTAAAGCTTTAACTTCTTATCCTACAATTATCATAATATTAGTATAAACAATGTCTGCATCGTAAGCACAACGGAAAGTAGGCGCAATGATTTACTTAAGTTCATGAGAATAGAATATAGTTAGTTGTACGAGCAGCATCACTACACCTCGGGTTACTAGCGCTACATTTTTCGTATGGTTAGTAAATGTCTAAGCCCATTGGCTCTCGACTTTGCCGATTTCAAATTCTCGAATACCGTAAAATTCCAGGAATTTATTTAAACTAACGACGAATCGCCCATCTTCTGATTAATCTTGTTGAATTATTTTATTTTTCTTATAAACAATATTTTTTATTCCAATTTAAATAAGGCTACGATATATTTGTAATTTTATCGAAACATTACGAAGCATTACGTGTTGATATTTTAATTATGATTTTATAATTATACGATCCGTGTATATTCAGAAGTTTTGTGTAAATCTAAATGTCCTACACTTAATGAAATTTCTTAGGAAAGTTTCCTCGTGGAAATGTTCGTTCATTTTAATCAAATAATATTTATAATAAATATATACGTACAGTATCTGTTACAATTACCATGTCATATGTCTTTTTTTTGTTGTTGTTGTTGACATTTAGGGGTATTAATTGAATTATGTTTTGCTTTTACAACATTCAAATTGATCTTTTCAATAAATATTTCTTTATCATAACTGTCATATTTATCATACAATTTTTTTTTTTTTTTTTTTTTTTTTTATTAAAATTTATTTCGTTCGATTTAATTTTTTTTTTTCTTATATACCTCTCCGTGCATCTTATTATCTTCCATCTTCATGCCTTCATCTCATAAAGATTCGTATAAAATAATTTCTCTGAATCTGCACCTAAGAGGTATCCGAATATAAAATTTATCGACAACTTACGACCTTAACGTTATTTGTTAATAATTGTCGCACATACACGCATAGATTCATTGTGTCAGTACCAACTATCTATCTATACCGAAAAAGATATATTAAAATCTTCATTGTACGACTTAAATACAATAATTCCATAATAAAATAATCGAAAATTATAAGTAATAAGTGCAGTAAGGATGATGTAGACGGCCATCGACTTCGTAATACTTTCAATATTTACAAGTATTTTTGAAATTCAATCATAAAGAAACGATTGGTTAATTTAATCAAAGGTATTCTATTGATTTTATTCAATTAAGAATACTTTATTCATATAAATTTACTTATAAATTTGTGAGTATTTCTTTTAAATACTTTAGTTGAGAATGAATTTTATTGTTTATTTCAAAGATTTGAGTAATCTTTAGCATAATTATCATTTCCATTTAGTCTAATAGATATTTATAGAAAAACAAAAAACAAATGTATTAATTATGTATTTGTTTATAGAAAAATTGTGTTGGATAATTTGAAAATATGCAGTAGATACTGATATAAACTTCTTTTTTTTTTTTATTATAATTAAGGAAATAAAAAATCTGCATCAAATTCCAATTTACATTGAAATTAATTCCAAAGCTTTATATTTTTAAATGTTAAATAAATCCATTTATATTTATGAGTAGATTTTCAATTAAAACCCACTCGATATTTCTTATTACAGATAAATGCAACAACTTTTATTTTCAATAATCGAGCGATACAACTATTTAAATAAAAAAAAGTACTTAAGTTTTTTACATTAAATGTCCTTAAGTAATTACTAGTATTAAATATTTTTATTGGATTATATAAAATTATACGGATATATAAACAACAGATTTATTTTGAAAGGATTATTTAAAGCTAATTGAATTACTATTTATATAAATGTATATAACTTTATAAATAATAAATTATTTATTAAAATTGTTACAAAATGTTATACAATTATAACACCTATATTACCTTCAAATGTTTATTATAACTATAATTAAGTATAAAGATCAAGTATAATCTAAATATATATTTAAAATCATTTTAAATTTATTACTCTATTGGACTTTTATAGATGAAGATGTAAATATTCTAGATGAATACCTTATTACCATGAATGTGCTATAAATTAAGAAAGCATTAATAATTAATAATTGCCTTTATAGTCATTCGTATCAAATCAAAATATAAAATACCATCATCACCTAATTACAGTAATAATTCCTGCAGGCATTACTTTACCCGTATTTAAAAAACGATATCCCATCATACCACTTAGTATCAGATTAGTTCCCAAGGCAATTCCATAATTTTGTGGATCTTGAGTAGTACGATATGCTCCGTATCCTAAAATAGAACTGAACAAAAGTCCGGCTGTTATCGATGCAATAGAATCTATAAATATGAAATCAAATTAAATGCAACATTCTGAAATAAACAAATATAAATAACCTGATTGATTAATTAATAATAATTTAAAGTAGCTTTTAGAATGATAAATTGAAAGATCCTTGATGTAAAATATATTGTAAAACTTACTTGATTTTACATAACCCATAATCCCACCGGCTCCTACTGCAGCAGCGTAAGCGAATCCAGGAATATCGATCGCCATTATGTATTACAAAATATTAACAAATATAGAAAGAACCGTAAAATAGAAAGTCAAATACTAAATGTAAATAATGATTGCTGAGTATAAAATGAGAATCATCAAGAAGAATAATAAGTCAATGCATATTTATTTGGACTAGACAGTGCACCTGTTACTCTTGCTGTGGTTCGCAATTCAAAGTCACGTGTTACCATTCGTTACATATCCGATGAATACAATGTAATAGCGCGAGATTTCGAATATAATTTAATGTATTTCAATATAAATAATCATGTCACACCAGAATAATAAAATACGAATGTCTTTATAATTTCAATTCGATGGATTGGATTGACTATTCGGAATAATAAAGTACTAAGCATTAAGTGTACGTTGTGTACGTATTCGCGCGCGTGTAACAATGAATAAAAACGAATTTTAATAAACAATGTTATACCAAAATAAATGCTTATTAATATTGCAAATTTTCAAACAATAAGCTAGTAAAGATTATATGTTTTAATAACGAATAAAGATATTATTATAGGCATTGTATAATCATTAGCTGTCGTTTGCACTTTCATCACTCAAATAAATAAGAGAAACGTGTAATAACGATAAATTTATTATTCCTTGTTTGTATATCATTGCGTTTATTGAACTTCCTTGATTCTGCATTACTTCTACTAAGTTACCTATAACAATTAATTAGCATGAAAGTGACGATGCAAACTTTCACTACTTTCTAAACATACACTCATATTGATTATTAAGTTAAATTAAGCTCATTTTGGGGAACATTCAATTAAAAACATTATTATTCTTTACTATTGCTTAAAAAGTTTAAGATTATGAAAGGTTTGTAAAAAAAAAAAAAAAAAAAACAAGTAATAAAACACTTTCAATTATTTTTAATGCATTATTTAATACGGATATTTTATTCATTTTATTATATATAGGAAAGCCGATAAATTAGGTTAAATTGTCAACAAGTTTTATTCACGAATATAATTGAGTGGAATATAGTTGAGTTATTTAGCAAGAATATGTTTGGAAATAAAAAGAAGTATACTTTACCAGAGAGACCAAAACCACCAAATATGAAAGAAATTGTAGAAGATTTAAAAAATTCAAAAGACAATAATGATATAGCATTTACGCTCTTAACTCATGGTAATTATCTCTAAAGACTGTTAAATTAAAAAAAAAAATGTTTTCTTCATAATGTAAATAAATTCAGTAATTTTATATTATATTTGTAATGATATATGTATCGTTCTTTTATATAGAATCAGGCTACAATGATAGTTTTCTGTCATCAGAACCAACTGATATAAATAATACTTATGAAAAAATTAAAACTTATGTTGATATAAATAAAAAATTGAAAACATTGAAAGAATCTATTCATGAAGCTGAAGAGGACTTAAAATCTAATGTTAATGATATAGTTGTATTGACGGAGGAAATCAAGGAGCAAGCTCAGGCTGCTTTAATTCAATAAATTAATTTTATTAGTTTGATGACATTTTTTTATGAAACAAACATATGTAAATAGATATCTATTACACAGTTCTAATACAATGTAAAATATATATTCTTGTACATAAATTACAGAATATTTTTATTTATTATACCTAGTATACTTTATTTAATTAAAGACTTTTACTTAAAATATAAATTTTTTTAATATTTAATATAACTTTAAAAAGAACGATTTTATTTCAATCAAAAAAATATATTTAAGTAAATATTTAATGAAAAATTGACTATTAAAGAAACAATTATAAAATAATATATATGACTACTTGCACAAATGATAATTTACAATATTCGTAACTCGATGTACTCTACATTGTTTAAATTACTTTCTGTAGTAATATACTGAAATTATTAGTTAGTATTGTATGATGAAATGAAATCAGTCATAAATTGATTTTTCAATAAGTACATATTTATAATACTAATATAAACAATTTTCTGTTTTACTTCCTTTGTTTTTTTGGAAATTTTAATAAAGAATATTCAAACAAATACATATATAAAATTCATGTATTTACACTAAACTTAAAACTTATATTAAATAATTCTAAATCTCAATAGACTTGTTTACTAACAAATTTTTCTATAATGTATTATAAAATCAACTTCAACTTTATAAGAAATTAAATGCTTAAAAAACTAAAAATATATAAACCTTTTGTTTCTAAATACAGAAATCATGTTTTAAATAATTATTAATCTTGGTACTCTCAACATTATTTTATTTATACATTTACCTGCTAATAATATATATATATATATATATATATATATATACATTTTTGTTTTGTTTTTAATTTAATTTATAAATAATTTTAAAATATTCATTATTATACAATATTATTTAATGGTTTAATTATATTGTGATTTACGACACTGAGAGTACCTATTTCATTTAGCTGAAATTAAAATTTAAGATAACTAACTTATTTTGGGAATTAAATATTTATTAAACAGAATCTAATGTATTATAATGAAATTCTCAAAGTTGAATTGCTGTATTTATTAACTTAAAAAGGGACCAAAACATTTACGTAGTTAAAAAGTTTATAAAATAAACATGAAAATAACAATTAAAATGGATTTTATTTAAATGGCCTAAAGCAAGATTTGTATACAGAAATTAATTTCAATTTAACATATATATATATATATATATATATATATATATACAAAATTATATGTATAAAGCATAGTCTTTATAATGTATAAAAAATATAATAAAACTTATAAGCAATATTTTTAATATGTTTAATGAATTAATTCTAGAACAGAGAAATAACCTTAAACTAGTTGTTTTGTTTATTGACTCTTGTAGGCATACGAGTTCGCTAATAGGTACAAGAGAGTTTGAAAATACTATTGAATATTAATATAACAATTATTTTTTTAATCTCATTTTTAAAAGAAATATATTTATAACTAGCTCTTTTCGTTTTAAAATTTTATATGGTATTTTTTTTATTTATCTGCCCCATTTTCTAAATGTTGTTAGAAGTTCGCAGATACATAAGATGAACAAAATGAACAAGGAAATTTCTATGCAGAATTGAAAACTTATAATAAAATAACTATACTATGGCGACAAATTGTTATTGAATGCTAAAAGTACATAATTACGTTATCGGATCACTTTGCCTATCGACAAAATAACATAGCATTACTATGTACTGATAGGTTAATTCACATATGATCAAAATTAAAGAACCGGGAATTATATATTTCATCGGTTAATGTTAACCTGTGATAAGCAAATTAAAATTTTCAGTTATAAATAATAAAATTGAAATTTATTTATCCTTTTAAGAAAATGATTATAAAAAAATCGGTTAATTTGGTAGAAATAATAATTGATGAAGTGGCTTTGGAAGGATTGGATGGAATAACATTAGAAGGTAACGTTAGAGTCCTTACTAGAATGTAATTCAATTAATTTATATAATTTAATTATAATATACGTTAGTTAATATTTTTGTATTGTTTCAGCACTATGGCAACGACTGGCAATAAAACTTGGATATTCGCTGCCATTAAAAAACTCTTTTATGGAACAGATTTGGAAAATTTGTTTAGAAATAGATGATTTCATATTTTATGAGTTAGAAAGTCCAAGAGACAATCTTATAATTTATGATGGATATGAACTTGAGTATTTGAATTTAGATACGGATAAAGTAAATTTATTTAATTTGTTATTTAATTGATTAAAATGACTTTTATTGTATTTACTTATTGATTTTTTAAATTTTTCTTAGGATTTTGAGCAAAAAGATATTTATTTACACTGTCCTGTCGAAGATTTGAAGCTTGGCATCAGAGGATCATGTTCGTCTTATTTTACAAGGATGGACATTTCTTGTATCGTTAAAAATTTAATATTATCGGAAGCTAGTAACAGATATAACCAAAAGTTAGTTATTGTTGCTTCCCAAAGTTTGAGGGAGAGAGCCTTAATAGAGAGTAACGTTAGCTCAATTCTTCAACTACCACTTTCACATTATTGTCTTTTAGAACGAATCGGTAGATCTCGTAGTATAGGAGAAATAACAATTAAAAAATCTGTAAATATAAAAGAAGATCCAAAGGCTTTATTTTACATAAGAAAAGGTTTACAAGAACATGGTTTAATAAGAAAACAGGTTTATTATCAAGGAGGTTCTGGAATTAATTACAATGGACAGAATACAGGTACATTGGTGCATTTGACTAGATTCTTTAATACTAGAAAACCAAAGGTAATTATGTGGGCTGAGCATCTTATAAATTATCTTAAATCCAAAGAGAATTATGCTGCAGAATACACTGAAGTTAAAAATGAATTAAATCTAGATTATTCGATTAAGAAATTTTTTAAAATCCATTTATTACAAAAGGTTTTTCGAACTGATCTTGTAAGTAAATTGATAAAATTGTGCGAATGTTTATTGAAATTAATAGAGCAATATTTTCATAATATCAATTTGTTGATTATTTTGCAATTTATTACAGAAAGTACCCTACAGATCGTATTATCCAAATTCAGCAGATAAAGAATGGCAAGTTAAAAATAATTCATCAAAAGAGAGGATAATTAAACTAGTTACATTATCAGATCCAAATATAGAAATAGTGGACCTTTGGAGAACTGAAGAAATAAAAGAAGATGATAATCCCTCACAATTGGATTTACAAAATCAAAAATTGCATGTACCATTTTTAACGCAAATATACAAAACTGTGGAATCAAAAGAATTTAAAGGTGCTAGTCAAACAGAACTCGCGGTAGAATTAGGATTAACAAAACTTATAAGTCGAACGTTAGTTCGCAATCTTGTTAAAACTAAGGTTGTATCTACATATTTAGATGATATCGGTAGACAAAGAACGACTAAATTTGTGTCAAAAAAATTTGATGCAAAAAGCTCTGTTAAAAAGCAATTTGAATTAGAAATATCAAAAATTAAAGAATATAGTCGATCAATGATAGTTGATAAAATAAAAGAAAACTTAAACAACGATAATAAGGATGAAAGAAATACGCAAAATAATACATTGGATAAAACAAGTGCGACAGAATCTGTTAATGGAGTGGATGACTCTTTTAAAAGTGGTTGTAAATTTAAAAATCAAATATTTACAAAAGTCAACGATATACTTTGGAAGTATAAGTTGTTTAAGAATAAAGCTAAATATAAATATACTTCAAAACGAACATATAACAGAGGAACAATATTAGAAAATGACAGTAAAAATTTAAATAATAAACAAGCGAACGAAACTAATGCTTTAAGCAATGCCGGTATTCTGGAAAATAATATAAATGCTAATCTCATTGACAGTGATTTTTATAAAACTATAGAAACAAAGTTAATTATTCAAAAACCGGAGTGTAAAAAAAAATCTCAGAAAATAGCTGTTGTTGGCTTTTTAAAAAATGTACAAAATTCTGATAATAATAAACAATCAAGTATTTCGTATAGACTGTTGCGACGAGCAAATCTAATTATCGAAAGTATAAAAGAACATAAAATTATTGAAGATACACAAAAGCTAATGAAGGTATTTTAAATTTGAATTATTTTGTTTTTGTATTTTGTAATGTTTAGACTGTAATGATATTAACAAAATTTGATTCAGTACATTAATGCAGAGGAAGATAAAGAGGGTCTTGAAGTTAAAATTGATAAGAACTCTTTGATAAGGCTTTTACAAAAATTAGCCGAAGACAATTTGATAAAATATATTAAATTAATTTTGAAAAACAAAAAACAAACTAAACAGAAAATAGTCAATTTCATTTGTGATCCAAGTATTGATATTAATGATACAGTGATTCAATCGGCAGTTGAGCAAGCCAAATTGAAATTCTGTATGACAGAAGCTGATTCGGCTAGATCAAACGATAATATTGAGAAAAACTCGGCTTCTAATGATGTCACTAATGCATCTAACGACAATAAACATATCGAAGAAAAGACTGTTATTTGTAAAAGCAATGTGCGTATAATTACAATTAATAGTGTCCTAATATTTAAATATAACAAGCAATTAATTTTTATCAATTAATTTTTAGATGCTTGGGAAAAAGTATGGTTATAGTCCGAAATTTATACGTATGAAAACTATGCACATATTCTTATATTATTTGATATACGAATATCCTGAGCATCGGACATCAAAGAGTGTATTTATAGAAAATTTAAAAAATCAAGGATTTCTTTACGATGATCTAGTAGATACTGATATAAATATTTATAATGCAGATATCAATTGGAAAATGTTTATTCCTCCTTTACCTAAACATAAAGGTAATTAACTATTATTGGTATTTATACTACTAATGACAACTTCAATCAATGGAATATTAAATAGTTATAATCCAATGTGTGTATTTTATTTCGCTATATTAATGGCTAAATGGCTATGTCAATTTTTATTTATTTGCCTCTGTTTTAATTAATTAACATCGATCTCTTCCAATCACATTATTCATCTATTTTAACATACTTATCTTATATTATAAAATATTCTATTTAAAAGATAATAAGTACAAATTCTTTAATAGAGTATGAAATGTTCTATCGATATATACGAATATAGTAGCAAGTTTTTTTTTTCTTTTTTTTTTCTCATTAGGTTACCCAATTGGATGGGCATTAATGTGCGATGTTCTTTTACGTATGCCACTATCGCTTTTTGTGAAAGTTCATAATGTCAATTTCGATGTCCCCGGCTTACAGGAACTCCTCGATCATCCAATTAAAAAGCACTTTTTAGTGAAAGATTTACCAACACCCATTAGGAATATGCTATTTCTAAAGCGTAAATATATGTTTAGCATTCACGAGATCGTCTCAAGACTCTGTTACCTAGGTCTTGTACAATTTGGTCCGCAAATGCTTAAGGAGAAAGATCAAGTTTTTGTATATCTAAACAAACGTACGGAGTTACTAGATACTACATCGTCTGCAGCCGGTTATCATAGAATTGAAGATAAGCCGTATCCGGTGACTAGATTTACATTCAGCTCACTCGCAGTTGTCGAAAATTATTGGTATGAAATGTGGAATACGTGCATTAATACCTGCCTGGGCGGTAGATCGGTAGTGGAGGGTAAAGATATCCTCCTAGAAGACTTGTCACGTAAAATTGAAATGATTCAGGCGTTAAAGGTTAAGCATCCGGAAGAGGCGGAGAAGCACGATACCGGATTTGTACCCGGAGATCGTAAAGGGGCAGCCGGTATCGATTCGGCCTTTTTCCCCCATTTAAAGAGGAATTGGAACTGGGTAAATAGCGGTCAGAAGAATATGGAGAAGAAGGAAAGCCGATCTAATAATTCAATTGCAATTGCTAAATCGAGTTCCAAACTCCAAAATGTTTCTATTCGAAAGGCACCTCAGGTAATTGGATGTTATGAGGTAGAAGGATGTTATCACACGAAAACATGAAATTTATCTGAAAATCTCTTGTTTAGAAATTAGACGAAACAAAATTCTGACTTGTTATTATTATTTTGGTTTTTAAATTTTTTTAATAATCGCGTTCGCTTTTACTTTTGAACAAATTTCAATGCCCATAATGAAAAATACGAGCGGAACTAAAACCATTTTATAAAATTATAAAAATAATAGTTGACTTAATAAATTTATCTAACGAATTATTATACTATCGTCCTACGTTACTAATATTTTTATTAATACAATTCGTAATGTATAATGTACAATTCGTAAAATTACAATTAAATACGTAAATCTTTAAGTCTTTATACATAAGTTTATCTCTTGCGAAAATAGTATGCTTTATTCGCTAAATTAATACAAACAAGCACGCGCGCGCACACACACACACACACACACACACACACGCACACATATATATATATATATATATATCGTTATTGTTGTTTTTGTTTTAATGGGATAATAGAAGAAACGATGCAGTCCCGTGAAACAAAATCAAGTAAAAATTGCTGTCTCTAACAGCATCAGCGATACCAATAAATTAAAAACGAAGCGTGATAAAGATCAAATTAACTTGGAATTTCCCGTGGTCGCATGCAGCAAACCACCTAAAATCATTCGCAAAGTCTTGCCACGTAAATCTATGTTGCGTAAGCGCGTCAAATACGATGAAATAGATTTTAGCGCATTGCAGCGAATGGATAAATTGCGAGTCGATTGGGAGAAACACGAAGATAATATATTGCTAGTCTGCAAAGTGGCAATGGTGTACTTGTGTCCAAATCCCAGACGCAATCTTGTTACTTTTACTGCTATAAGGGACATCCTCCGCTCCTATTCATTCACATCATACAACAAAACATCACGAGCATGTCAAAGGCGATTGCTATATATGTTGAAACAACCAAGAACGGTCAATAGCGTTCTACTTGGCGTTGAAGAGGTACCAAGTACTATATTATTCATCATTATCATTATTTAATTGTATTTTCAAGTATTACAAACTATTAATCAATTAATATAAATCCCTGTAATGTATTTATCAATGGCTTTAAGCGTTTGATAAGTGAAATTTTTTGTTTTACAAATAATTGAATTTTGATAATTTGAACTTTGATAATTTCGAATTAATTAATGATTGAAATACATAATAGTTTTATTACTTTGTAATCATAAGCTTTTATATTTTTAATTTAGTTAATTATATCGTACTATCATTGCTCACACGGGTGAGGTGACACGTTGGTCGATTTTTTATAACGATTAAAATACGTATACAATTTAAAGAAAAAAATATATAAGCATTGTTCGGTATTGCAATAGAAGAAGAAAAACTATTTTTCTCAAAAATTACTGAGCAAAGTCGTGTTTTTTTTTTTTTTTTTTTCAAATATAGTTTTTCAAATATATAATACAATATATAATACAATAAATAAATAATATAATACAATAAAGTTATTATTTTGACACTTTTGAATTAATAAAAAAAACAAAAAACTTCATTACACTTATTTTCTCATATCCAAATATGTTTTACAAGTACGTTAAATATTTAATGATAAACATCTTTATGTCTAGGTCAAGCAAGACTATTATGTTAATAAGCGTTTTGGAGGTTTGATTGATCGAGTAAAAGGCGAATGCGATAATCCAATCGAATGCGAGAAGAGGGTTGAAAAAATTTTTAATGAATTGGTAACGTATATTGCTAAAAAGTATTATAATATTTCAAATATGGAACGACGAGAGCCAATTGCTCTACCTAAAACCATCCAAGAATTCAATATTTTTCATAAACTGAAATTACCAACAAAGACAATTAATTCACCTGGTGTATCGAAAGAAGTGCGCGAAATTAGCGATATACACACTACAACTATTAATTCAGTTATTCATAGTTCTATGTGCTGCGGTAAGGAAAGAAGATCCTGGGCATATCAATTATTCAAGGTATGTAAAATGATGGTAATGTAGTTGGAAGTATATAAAATTTTTTTTACATTTTTTACTCAAAATAGAAAGAGAATCGGTAGAGAGTCGGTATTTTTATTAAGTACGTACAAATGCAAATTTCCGTATAATAATTGTATTACAAAGCTCTAACGCCAATTTTATGGAATAAATAAATCATTTGTAAAATTCATACATCCTAATTATCATTGAATTTAGGTCCAAATTGCACATTTTATATGCGCATTATATATTACAGAGTATTAAAAAAAAAAAAAAAAAACGAGCGTTTTACGACAATTAATACATTGTATCGATAATGCTATTTTAATTTAGAGACTTTATCTTAAAAATTCTTTAATAAACCATATATTTTGGATAGGTTTACCAACAATATCCAGAATATCTTCTAAGAAGCGCTATGCTGAAGATACGAGCCGATCAGATGGTGACAATGAAGAAGAATTATATGTGTGCTTATAAAAAATTCGGTAACTGTATGCCAATGAGCAGTTCGCAGTACCAACTAAGCTCAGCCTATTATTACAAATTCCAAACTAAATGGCCTTACGAAGTATTTTCCGAATCTTATAATGTTTTACTTTCGCTTATGGAAAATTACGTAGAGAGGAAGCGCAACGCGATCGATGGTATAGAGGTGAAACCGGGTGTCGGTGGCATTGTTGCGGCAATACATGACTTCGTTGGCACGGATAGCATAGATATTGATATTGAAATTCCCGATCAGATAATAATGTTGGACCCGACGTTACCGGAAAAGGACGAAGTCTATCAGCGCATTGCATCTCGTTATCAATCCATCTTGGAGAGTTTGAGTACCGATTATGCTGAGCACGTAAAGGTAAACACGAAGAAAGCTTAATTAAGAAGACGTGCAACGGCATGAAAAAAGAAAAGCAACATATAAATCTTGCCGAAGAATATTTCTATCGAACGTTGTTTTATAATTTAAACTGTGATAAGATAAATAGTTTTTTTTTTTTTTTTTTTTTTTTTTTTTTTTTTAATAATGAAGATGATCATAATAATAATTTACAAGAAATACCTATTGAAATTTTAAATGATATAACATCTTGCACGTTTGAATTATAAATATTTATTAATAATCTATATCTATATTTAAATTATCATTCGTTTTGAGAATTGACTTTCCGCTCGACTAATACGATTTATAAACGACAATTTTTTCAGAATTCTAATATTATGACTTCGCAAAATGATTCACTCGTGGTAAAACAATTAAAAATAGACAATGAACAGCCGACTTCGGATCAAGTTTGTTTATCTAAAAGAAAAGAAAACGATTACGACTTTCTACGGAATAAGAAACGAAAATTAAATGACGAAAAGTATCTTCAAATAAGCGAGAGGTATAATGAAATAGATAAACCTGAAGCGAAAAAAGACAATAAAAATTTCCAATGTATAATTGAAAATTCAGATAGAAAAATACACCCCGTTGGAGATAGTAGTTACGAGAATAAAAATTTACTTCCAGGCACATCTCATGATTTACCTAATGATAAGATTCAGAACGAATCAATGGATAGTGATTTGTATAGTGAACAAGTTGCAACTCCTATTGATACGGATATTACTAATATTCACTCTGTCTCTAAGTGCCAAGATAAGGATGATATATTTGTTGTAAAAAATGATAATACAGTCGTTCAATCTCGTTTAGGTAAGTTTTTTTTTTTTTTTTTGTTTGTTTTTACATATTAAAAGAAAAATCAGTTCTTAAATAAGAAGACTAATGTAAACTTTCCGTTACTTTCCAATACATTGCCTAATGAAGATTCTAATATTGAAGATAATTTGGGAAAACAGGAGAATAAGATTGACGAATCTCTTTCTTATCACTTAGAAAGTCAAGGAGATAAAAAAAGTGAAAGCCACGATAAAGCCAGTACTAATGTTCAATGCATACCTTGCTTGAAAAGAAAAAGCAACGGTCAACAGATTGTTCAGAATAAGAAAAAAAATTGTTACGAAATTAATAAAATAAATTTCAGTCGTGTAAATGAACTTATTAAATGTATTGGTAATCGAGATGCAGCGGAAACGATCGAAATGCGTACCGACATTAACGATGTACGCACACGTCAAACTCGCATTGCTATGCTTAAGATGCGCGAAGAATTACACGATCTCACTTTTCATGATAGTCATCATGCCCACGAATACTTTGTCGTGAATTCGTTTAAACTTTTTTATTCGCTGACGGAAAAGGGCGAGAATTTGGGGGAGGTTACGACTTATAGAGGACTTGAACTCCCTAAAAGTTTGTTACCTATTAATGTTGAAGTGACGAATAAGGTACTGGAAGATATTAAGAAATTCGCAATTTTTCCAAAGTATTCGACACAGTATGATGATTTTAAAATGGAAATCATGAAAGATGGACAATTCGATTGGGCGTACGTTGATGAAATATGCAAATTTATAAAAACCAAAGCAGAATTTGGTGCTACTTTGCACGAAATTGTGGTAAGTTTCATTGACTTTTTTTTTTTTTTTTTTTTTTTTTTTTTTTTTTTAGAAATTAATAAAGAATTATAATTTTAAACTACTTATTTTCTTAGAATGGTCATGTCAATGATTAAATGTATAAGAAGTTTTACGGTTTTACGGTGCGAGTGTAAGGATTTAATTTTATTAACAAATGTTAAATTTCTAAAAAAAAAAAAAAAAAAAAAAAAAAATATCGATATCTCGTACATTCTAACACAAAACTACAACTAAATATTCTTTAAGGATAATTTATAATATAATCGAGTAAAAACTTAATAATTTTTTATGTTAACACAATTACTCAGCAAATTTACTAACGTAAATTTATATTTTGCAAACATTTTGTCATAATTAAAACAATTTACAGAACTTGCGGAATAAGCAAATATTATATATTATTCAGAATTATTAAATAAATTACAATTTTTACCAGAAAATTTCATAATTAATTATATGATTCTATTAACATTCAACATAAAATTTCATAAATTTTTAAATTTTAAATTCACATGTGCGTGTAAAAAAGTTTTTGAAATAAATACGATGAAAATTTAAAGAACTAAAAAGTAAAATAAGAGATATTATGTTGGAATATTTTTTTATAAACGCGACGGTAAAAATAAAATTAAGAATTTTATAACTTATAAATAATAATAATAAATAACAAGATAACATTAATATTATTGTTAATACGGTAATTACATTTTGTTAAATTATGAAAAAAAATTTATCAACATTACGTCAAATTCGGTAAAAAAAAATGTATTTAGAAATATTTAAAATCATATAACAATTAAAGATTCATTTATCCGTATTTCGTTGAATTCAAGCTCGAATTGATAAATCCGAATCTTACTGATTTCGACTTAAATGGACTTATAATTAATTTTATTCTATTATCTTAAGTCTCAAACTTAATGTGCATAACTCGCTTCTTTAATATAAAAATTAATTTTTAAAATAATTCAATATTATGTTATTTTCAGACAAATTTCAACCATCTCAATAATAAACTTGCTAAAATTTTATTATTATTGGCAGAAAAAAGAATGGTTTTACGTGCTGGTATAGTAACAGTGCGTTATATTTATTATCGATATATTAATCCGTGGATAATTCACTCTTATAAAATTTTACGCCTTGAGAAAGAAGGACATCAAACAATACCCGAGGGTAGCGTTTACATCTTGGATAACGAAGAGAATTCTATTAGTAAAGATAAAGAAGCGAAAAGAGTGACTACAGCAGCAAATTTATTTTACAATTCGTCAACTAAATTGAATACTGAGTGTGAGAATTCAAACAGTCATGTATGTTTTAATAATTAATAACTTAAATCATTGATAAAATGATGATATTTATTTTTTTTAATTTTATTCGTCTATTAGGATAAAAATATGTATGAAACAACAGATAATAGTGCAGATATAGAATCAGAAATGAGCAGTAACAATGTAAATGAAACTAAAAGTTACGATAGTAATTATCAAGAACGTAAAGTAATGGATTTTAAATTAAGTAAATTTTGAGCATTAAGTATTTATATAATATAAATTGTTAATGTTTAGGCAGAAAATACCGATGATGCAGATGAAGAATCTAAAAATCCGAAAAAATTTCGACGTAACAGAACTGTACTTTTGAAGCAAAAGGACATTTATAGAGCCGCTAAATTATTAGATTTCAAGTATGTTTCAGACAATATTATTTATATACATTTCCATTACATAAAGTTAAGAATAAATTGATTTAATCATTTTTAGCACTGCTGAAGAGATTAAAGTAGTGATTAAACCTTGGATAAGAATTGACGGAGTTTTAAATCGTAGAGTCTTGGATCGTATGCTTGGAGCAGTATTATGTTATTGTATTGAAAAACCAGGCATATCCCTTACTATAATTCAAAATAGATTTACACCAGCTATACAACCTTATCATACAAGAGAATTAATCGAGGTATAACATCTCGCGCGCACGCATATATATATATATATATATATATATATATATACATACATCCGAATAGAAATCCATAATATAAGATATAAAAATGTTAATTTTCAATTACAGATTTTAGTCAAACTTGATTGTATTGCAATGACAATACAACGAGTATCTAAAATTACATTATTTTCCAAGCCAGCACAAGTAGACTTAAGTATGAATGTTTTTAAGATTCTTATTATATGGTTTTTATGAAAACAATACATTATATATTTGAATTTTATAGCTGGAGATCCTGACTTAATTGCTGATAGCGATTCAATCATTATTGAGCCTACGTTGCAAGCAACACTGAGATTTGGTATGTTTTTAAGCAATAGGTCTTATAATTTAGATTTTTTATCTTCCTTCTAAGAAAAAAGAATATCAATTAATTTATATTTTTATAAATTTAGTCATTTACAATAAAATGCAATGAAATATTTTTCTTTAATTTTTTTTTTAATTTTATCTTAATTTATATAATAATAATAATAATAATAATAATAATAATAATAATATATTTTTTGTAAATAAATTTCATACTGACTCCATTTACATCGATTAGATTATACTCAAATTCTTTTATTCAAAAAACTATAAAATTTATTTCGAAATTTTTTAGATATAATTAAAAATATTGTACATATAGTTTTACTACTAATAATAATTATAATATATATATATATATATATATATATATATATAATAATAATAATAATAATAATATAATATAATATATAATATAATATAATATAATATAATATAATATTGCCTTTAATTGTAATAGCAAACTTTTTTTCTTAACAAATCGTCACTTATATATAAGTAATACACAATATAAAAATAACAGAATTGCTTGATGATATATATATATATCTTTTTAATTTGATTAAAAAAAAAAAAAAAAAAAAAAAAAAAAAAAAAAAAAAAAAAAAAAAAAAGTTAAAAACTTGATCGTGCTTTTAAATCTAGTTGCATAACATTAAAAAATTGTCAATATTAAACTGAAAATTTTAATAAATTTGATCAACCAATTCAAATACCATATATTTATTAATAACTATAATGATAATAATAATCATAACAATAGTCAGAATCAATTTGTAATAAAATTTTTAAAATTAAGAAAATTGATTTATTGACAGTAATCAATGTTTAAAATTTTAATAAATTATAAAAAAAAATATTAGGTTTAAACTTAAAAATTTGTTGATAAAATATGTTTGGAAATTATATTTTCAATCGCTCTTTAAATATGATTGTTATTGTAAAGGATATTGCATTAATATTCGTAGGAGAAAATACTCGGCTATTGTTAATTTTAAGAATTTGATGTAAATGAATAGAAATATTGTTTCTAATCATCAACTACATTTTTTGATCAATAAAATAAATATTTTAACCAAATATACAGCAATTGAAAAAATGAGTAGGTAAAATAATTTTTAAATGGTAATATTTTATACAATTTTTGTAACAATTTCACGACTCAAACTTCTTTTCATTTATTTCCTAAAACTAAGTTTTATGCCAACCATTACAATTGTATTTCAATTAATTTACCATATATATTTTTGTTAATGATCGATAAAAATTTACTTGTATTCAACAAAAATATGTACTATTTCATTTATATTAATAAATTAATAAAAATACACGTCGATCCATAGCATACCAATAGTTTCTTCAATTATAGCACTAATTATTTAACTATAGAATTTCATGTCTAGAATTCATTTATGACAACTCTCATATCTGTATATTATTGAGATAAAATTATAATAATTATACATTAATATTGAAAATTACTTTTCTGAAGATAATTATAATACAGTGTACTTAATGAGCAATACTCTTTAAAACACTTTTATACGTTATTAAGAAAATTTCCAGGAGCATGTGCTAAAAGTTGTTTATAAGTTTGATCCTTACATATTTTGAAAAAATTATACGATAAAAAATCTCATTTCATTGTATTCCGCACTTTTAACAGAAATAATAATTATTTATTTTTACATGGGCAAAACTGATTATACTTCACTGTAATAAAATTCATTTGATTTTTTTTTTTTTTTTTTTTGTTTTTTTTTTTATAAATATTGTACATTTTCAATATGTTTTAAAGAATTATAGCTTAATTTAATTATATCAATTCAATTTTTTAAAATCGTAAAACTACAAAAATACATATAAGTAGAGAAACAAACTTCATACTTTTGTTACAAAAAATTGTTATGCAGACTATGCTTTTGATATCCTTTGTTTCAATATATAGATTGTAATTTGAACTTGTAGCTAGTAATATCAAAAAATGTAATTACCATCTATGACCGATTGGTACAGTTTGTACAGTAGAATTAAACACAAATAGTAATTAAATTTATCAAAACATATTTGGACACCTAATTTAAAATAGCAAGATAAGTGCCACGGGCTTGACCAACTTGCAATTCTCTTGTATATTAACACAGAGATTCTATATCAAAATGTTTAATCTGATCTGCATCTTCAACGTATTTATCCAAAAAATTCTCAATTTGGTACCTAGCAAGCACAATAATCAGCCTTTCCACTGTTTCTTTGATCACTCGTTAATTTAATCTGATCTGGGAATTCATTGTAAAGCTCAACCTAAAATAAATTCAATTATACAATATAATATAATTTGCTTAACAATTCAATCAAATTTTCATACAAATTTACATGTACACGAGTGATAAATTTCTTACTTCGCTTTCTTGAGCCAATGCGTTTTTAGCTATCGTTTGAAAAGCTTGTTCTACATTTATTGCCTCTTTTGCACTAGTTTCAAAAAAAGGAATATTATTTTTGGACTGACACCACTGCTGAGCTCTCTTGTTGGAAATCTGAAAATTATATAAATACAGATTAAGACTATTGTAAAACAAAGATTTTGCCATTTTTTAAATTTTTTAATAGACAATCTTATAAATTGTACAAGTGATGTAGTTAATATAAATTGGCTTTAACATTTTTTCGTATCAAATTTGCGACGCATAATAATGCTTTTAAATGTAAATTTTTCCCTTCAAAGTATATGAACATTTACCGCTCTATTTTCTAAGTCAACTTTATTCCCAAGGACAACAAATGGAAAGTTGTCTGGATCTCGTGGCGATGCTTGAATCAAAAATTCATCTCTCCAAGAATCCAATGATTTATAAGTACTTGGTGCAGCTACATCAAATACTAAAACACAACAATCTGCACCTCTGTAGAACGCAACACCTAATGATTGGAATCGTTCTTGACCAGCGGTGTCCCAAATCTGAAAACATCATTAATCATTGATTTTTAAGTCGCGTATGTCTTAAAATGTTTATTAATATTTTAACTCCTGCATTTATTATCTTGGATAATATTACTAATATTCTAGTAAATTAATCTACAAATCCATTTAATTAAAAACTAAGATAACTATTGTAATAAATAATGAATTTATTATAAACTAAACTTCGTCCCAAATATATATAATACTCTAATAATTATTCTTAATTTAACTCCAATCAGCCGAGTGTCAAATTAACTTCAGTGTTGAACAAAATTATAATCAAACATTCATTGAACAATAAAATGTTTACTCACTTGCATTGTCACTATCCTATCGTCAACCATAACTTCTTTAGTTAAGAAATCTGCTCCGATAGTAGCTTTATATTGATTACTAAATTTTTTATTTACGTATTGATTCATTAAAGATGTTTTTCCTACTCCAGAATCACCTAAGATAATAACTTTGAGCAAAACTTTCTTACGAGATGACATTTTACCTTCAACTATAATAAACAATAATAATTATTATAGTAAATATTCAATATCTTACGTATAAATAAATATTAAGAAATAATTAATATTAGTATTACCTGTTAAAATGTAACTTGGATCAAATATATAACAAATTGAAGTTTTTTCTTTCTACACTGCTACAAACAAAGGATAACAGCATTCAGCAGTTCATACCGAGTATTGCATTTAAATCATCTAAAAATTAATATATATATATATATGTATGTATGTATGTATGTATGTATGTGTGTGTGTGTGTGTGTGTGTAAATATATTTTTTAAAAAAAAATATATATATTAAAATATTAAATATCGTAAAGAAAATAATTATTTATATCTAAAAGTTGTTTATTTCAACGACCATGTATATTGGCAAGAAAAAATAATTATGTAGCGTGATATATTGATGTTGAAAAATATAAAAAATATAAAGAAAATTATCTCTAGGGTGAAACGCTAAATCATGATTAATTAAATTTCAAAATGCACTAATTATAATAAGAATTAATATCTTCTTTTACAACGAATGAATCATGTTTGACCATTACATAGAAATACATTTTCTTTGTGCCTGTGACGTAAATACACTAACTCAAAAATTCCAATTTAATTCGATATATGAAAGCTGTTAGGAAACCGCGATATTACCTTTTGACACGATGCACACAAGAAATCATACTTTTGAATTCGCGTTCTTAATCACTTTTTTCACAGTTAACACTGCTTGCCCTTTTAACACAAAATTCTAATTGATATATAATTCGTCTTCTTTTCTCTCACTATCTTATTCATAAAAATTTAAAGAACAAAGATTACGTCGTAATTATGACTATCGAGACAACGTACACTACGCAGGAAAGAGGAAAAGTGTGATAGACATAGAGATAGAGATAGAGAAAGAGGAAGAGAGAGAGAGAGAGAGAGAGAGAGAGAGAGAGTGTGTGTGAGTTGGCGTAGGCGACAGAGAGAGAGAGAGAGAGAGAGAGAGAGATATAGAGAGAGAGAAAGGGAGAAAGCGAGCTAGACAAAAAAGAAATCACAAGGAGTCAGAGGTATGTGAAAGTACATAAAAATAATATACTTGTAGGCTGGATAAAATTTAAGGATTGCGATTGAAATTAATCGACAATTCGTTGAAATTATATTTCACGTAATAATCGTTGTCGTACACAAAGTCCTTACTTACTTGATAAATCAACGTTATTAAGGGACGAAATACAGATATAAAAACGAATTGTCGCACAAAACAAGAGCAGAATAATTACAAATCCTGATTGGAGATTGTAACAGTACACTATTCTCTAGGCTTCGCACACAAAGAAAATGGCGTTTTATACATCACGAGTGCTCACTATCAACCAACCGGGTTCTTAGACACATTTGTATATACGCACTGACACATATACTTCCCGCATACGATATTATATATGTGCTTGCATCACCTAGTCACTAAGAACAACAAAGGCAGTCGATGATGCGAGTCGCTTTTACGAGCTTTCCTTCTTGTCTCTCGCGTCTTCTCAAGGTTTAAAATGTCTCAACTGAATTAACAAATACACAATGGGTAGTATACACATGCACAATTGCATACGTAAATGCGTTGATCTAATAATCGAATATCGAGTTCTTGAAGTAGCGATTGTTGCCTTAATCATGTACGTGCAAATATTCGAGAATACTCGAATTATCGAAAGGCCTTTTAAAAATCATAGCTTTTACGAGTGTTTTTATTCGATTTTTTATAAGCTTTCGTTGATCCACTAAGCGGAATAATACGTGTGTATTATAATAGTAAAAAAGTATTAAAGTTCAAAGTAGTCAAATATTATTAAAGTAATACGATGAAAGCTTTGAATGAGCAATATGGAATTTACAAAATAGTGAAGTAAAAGTAATATTTATAATATTATATATATATATATATATATTTTTTTTTTATAAAACTTGAGTGTTCAATGCAGAATTAAGAAAAATTTGAAATTTGAATCTTATAAAAAAACAAAGTTTTAATTAGTACCAATTTCATTCATTAATTATTAATAGTTTCGATACAAAAAACAATAATAATAACGAATGCACACAAATATTTTTAATTATGATTCTACAATTAACTTAAAATATATAAAACATTAGCGTTTATTTCATTGAAATTTAAACAAATCTGTGAAAATTTACTTCAATGTCTAATATTCCATTCAATGCTCATGACGCCGTTAAATATATTTAATAATGTATACTATAAATATATTCTATACATTATGATGCATGGCACAAGTTACTTTAGAAATTATTATATAACAATATTTACAACAATAAAAAGTAGAATTAATCATTTTTTAATCTAATGTTAAAATTTTTCATTCAATTTATTTATTTTTTTTTATTTTTTGTTTTTACTAAGCTTTTATTTTTAAATTACTATATATTAATAATATAAATAAAATAAATCAATATTAAAATTAGAAATAAAACAAAAAAAAAAAAAATAAATAAATAACATTGCCTATATTTATAAAAAGATATAAAAATTATTTAAGCAATTATAAATAATCAATTAGAGCATAGTGAGTTTGAATTGTGACGAGTTTAAATTTACAACTATTTATGTAAAAGTCTGCACATGAAGATAAATAAAGGAAATTTATATTTTATTTGCATTTCATAAAATTTACAAAATTTATTTTTAAAATAGTAATATGTTAAAATATTCACTTGATAATATTATTTTTGTAAATTTTCATTATGAAACACCATGTTTTAATGTTAAATTTTAATACATCTTTTATAATCTTAACTACTGTAAAACGAGGATAGTATTAAAAGTGATTTTTTAGCAAAATAAAAATATATTAATCTTCATTTAAGATTACAGTGGGCACTGAAGATGATCGACTTACCTCCACAATTTCGATGTAAATTACTTAAGAGCGATGAAAGTTGGAAAGTGGATACTTGATAAAAATTTAAAATATACCTTCTTGTACCTTTCTTCCTAAACCTACCGATACTCTCCTCTCTTTCCATGGATACAATAATCTAGTTTCGCATCCTATCGTAAATATTTATTCTCATTTGTTAAAAAAAATTAATTAAATATATCTTTCACTATTCTCTTTCTTTTTTTTTTTTTTTTTTTTTTTTTTTTTTTTACAACAAATATTACAAATTATAATTTATAAAAACGAATACAATATGTGATTAAAATATTTTATAGTAATAATATAATGTATTAATTTCTTTAAGTAACAAATGATATTAATATTTTATTAATAATGTATTTTATTGTTATAAAAATAGATATTACATGACAATGTATTAATAAATGTTAATTCTGATAATTTAAAAAATATTTATAAATAAAGGCCATCAAAAATATTGTTGTCGGTGTAATTTGAAATTTAACAATTTGTAATAATTATCAGTTCCTTCAATTTTTCATAATTTTACATATAAAGCTCGCCCGAACAAAACCTTACTTATTTCATTAATAATCAAAGTACTTCTATACTATAATATTGCATTTCTTTTTAGTAAAAGGAAATATTACTTCAAATAATGTTAAATTATCCAGTAGTAAAGGCAATTATGATAAAAATTTTATGTAATCAATATAATCAATCATTAAGCCAATTATTATTTCACGAATTTCTTGAAATTTAATTTTTAGTTATAAAAATAAATATATAACTTTATTATCTTCAAGTAAATAGAGTATTTAATTTTAATATTAAGAGAAAGCTAAAATTTATCATCAATATATGTAATTTTTCTGCATAATTATTTTGAACTTATTATTCTAAAAGTAAGTGATATTTTAAGATCTTGATAAACATAATGAAAATTTACTAACGAGACGAAAAATATTACCTATAGTACAAAAAATTTTAATTAATTTTCTAATTTGCTTATATTATATTTCACAAAAATTAATATCCAAAATATATAAAACTTAATTATATGTTAACAAATTTAATTTTCTATGTCCGTAGTGAATTGATGTGATGTTAAAATTATTATTGATGTGTCGAATTGCAATAATTCAGAAGTACTATTATTCTTACTGAATACTTGAATTATTTTTTTACTTTAGTTTTTTAGAATTAATTTTTTTTTTTTTTTTTTTTTTTTTTTTTTTTTTAGAATTAATAGTTAATTACTTGAATACGTTCAATGATGGATTGATATTCAATAATAATATTATACACGTAACTCAAATTCTATTAAAAGCACCTTCTAACTAGCAAAAAAGCTATTTTATTTATTTCTTTCTAAAATTAGGTTCGGTTATTTGTGAGATGCAGTTTGAATGCATATAAACTAATAATTATTAATACTTAAGAAGTTTTCTAATGTTAATTTTTTGCTTTACTTAAAGAAATAAAAAATCTATATAATATGCTACATTATGGATTATAGGAAATAATTTATTTGCAACGTACAATCCGAATTGCTAATAATACTCCTCTATATGTTCTGAGTGTTTTGAAAACTTTAAAAGAGATATTCAATAGAAACTATTTATCGAAAGTTCAACAAACGTAGCTCCATTTACTTTAATTTTATTTATTATTGTTTGTATATAAATCAATAATATTCTTGGCCCCTTTAAACATTAATTGCCGTAAATCAGGTAATTTTAAAGATTGAATTATATAATTATATAATTATAAATATATAGCTACCTATGTAATTATAAAAATACATATTTTATCAAATATTATACTACAAAGTCGTGCATCATATATATATATATATATATATATATTATATAACACAGACGCGTGTCATATATATATATATATATATATATATATATATATATATATATATATATATATATTACGATCCTTTTTATATACAATTTTATTAATGAACGATATCTTTGAAAAAATTATGTTATAAATTATCATTGACTGACATGAAATAAATTCAATATTAAAGAAATTAATATTTCGAAACTTTAACAAAATTTTATAATTATTATTTAGGTGTTAAGAAAAACTAATTAATATTTTAGAAAAATGAAAAAATTATTCTGCATTACACTGAGTATGTAATATTTAAATTTTTTTATCATATTTTATTTATTTTATAAAATATATTCAATTTCGGCTTTGCAATTTTCAAGAAATTATATTAAAACTTGCTACAATAAAACATGTTTAGTAAAAAGAAAAATATTAAAAGTATA